CAAGACCAGGCCGCAGCAAACATGCCTGAAGTCCCCAATTCTGACCAAGGAGCTCCAATTAATATTTCTATCCTTAATTGATACTTGCACCTTCTGAAGATCTTGTTCCTAACAATATTAACATAATTACTTACTTTATTCTACATATAAAATGTTTCTATGGAGAAAGAACAGTCTTTTCAACAAATGATGCTGGGGCTACATATATAAAAGTTAAATCAAAAAGGGTCAGACATCTAAATATAAGAGCTAAAACGATAAAACTCTTAGGAGAAAATGTAAGGGTAAATGTTTATGACCTGAGTTGGTAATGGATTCTTAGATACAACACTAAAAGCATGAGCAACAAAAGAAAAAAAATAAATGAATTAGACCATCGAATTTTAAAAACTTTTGTGTTTTAAAAGATACTATCAAGATAGTGAAAAGACAACCCACAGATTGGGAGAAAATATTTGCAAGTCATATATCTGATAAGAGACTTGTATCTAGAATATATAAAGATCTCTGATAACCTAGTAATTAAAAAGGCAAATAACCTAATTGCAAAATGGGCAAATGATCTGAATAGACATATCTCTAAAGAAGATATTCAAATGATCAATGAGCACGTGAAAAGATAATTCAATCTCATTAGTCATTAGGGAAACCAAAACCACAAGGAGATGTCACACCGACAAGGATGCCTATAATTAAAAAGTCAGATAACGACAAGCATTGTTGAGGATGTGACGTTGGAGCCCTCATACACTACAGGTGGGATGTAAAATGGTATAGCCACTTTCGAAGACAGTTTGGCAGCTCTTCAAATGGTTAAAAGCACAGAATTACCATGTGACCCAACAATTCAACTTCTAGGTATATACCCAAGAAAAATAAAAACATAGGACCACATGAAACCTGGTATGTGAATGTTTATAGCGGCATTATTCATGCTATCCAAAAGATGGAAACAATTTGAATGTTTATCAGCTGATATATGGATAAATAAAATGTTGTGTATCCAGTTAGTAGGTTTAATTGTAATATTATTTAGCCATTAAAAAAATGAAGTACTGATCCACACTCCAGCCCAGACGAATCTTGAGAACATCACACTAAGTTGCAGAAACCAGACACAAAAAACCATATCATTTAAATGATTTTAGCTGGGGCAGATCTGATCAGTTTTGCTGATAGTTATGCTATATATTTCAGTTGTTTCTGAGTTTTAATAGTATTTGCTCAGAAACCATTGATTGAAGAAATTAAACAATTCTGTATTCCAGCTTTTCTGTTAGTTTATTTAGTGCTAGATCTCAATGAGGCATCACTGTGACTCTAGTTATATTCAATTTAGGAGTTATCAACGGCTCTTTTCTCTCATTTTGTGGGTTCAGATATACTTCACTCTATCTCTCATATATTGTCATTTCTGAATCTGTATCTTTATTCAGGGCAGAATGTATCTGAAGAGGTTTCTTCATTTTTCTTTATGCTTGTTTAATTAATATTTGTGAGATTCAGCTTCTCATGAGAATGTTGTCACTTGGGTGACTGCATTGCTTTGGGGAGGGAACACCGATTCTCTGCCTTTTCTTTTACTTTTCTAAGTTTTATATGTCTTCATCAGTAAGTAGTTCAATTAACATCGGAAAGTTTCTCTTCTGAAGCTGATCCTTCCAGCAACTTTTCATTTTCACCCCAAATTAGAAGCTTTAAAAATAGATTAAAGCCTCAGCTCTCCTTAAAATTTATTTATGAAGGGACTCAGCCTTCATTTTTCCCCCAAACTTTAAAGATGTGTCGTTTTTTGAAGTTTGAAACTGCACTGTTACGTTGTGGTCCTTGGCTTTTTCCTGTCTGCTTTTGGGCATTATTTTCTAATTTTTCTTCCCATTTAGAGGAGGTAAGGCAAGATAAATAAAACTCAGAAATATGATTTTGTATACTAAAAATTACTTAAAGTAATTTAGCAGTTGCTCTATTTTTAACAAGCATATTTGATGATAAACTCTGTTTCTCTTTACTTGGAAATATTATTTAACCCTCCTTGAATCGTCAGCTAAAGGATTCTAAGTTCATATTTATTTTCTCTCAGCACAATTAAGATACTAATCTGTTTTCTTTTGGTTTCCACTTTGGTGTTGAGAAATCAATTGTTGGTCTAGTTGCTTTCCTTTGTGGGTAGTCTGCCTTTTTCCTTTTGCAGTTCCTAAGATTTCCTTGTATTTGGGGTTCTTTAGCTCGACCATGACTGGGCAAGGTATGAATTTCTTTCTGTGTATCTTGTTAGGAATTTAGTGAACTCTCTTTTTTTCTTTCTTTCTCTTGGCTTGCCCCCTTCTTTTTAGTGGGTTTTCTAATTCTGAGATTTAGTGTCTTCCACATTTCTGGGAAATTTTTAGCCATTACCTCTTAAAATATTGTCTCTTTTTTATTGTCTATTCTCCTCTTTTAGATCTGCAGACATGTTAGAATTTCTCACCTGCATCTTCAACATTCTTTAATTCTTTTATTTTCTCTTTGTTTCCCTATATTGTATTCTGCATGATTTTATTTATCTTCTGATCTTCTGGTCTGTCCATTTAATTTTTAATTTTAATTAAAGTGTTTCTAAACTCCTTTTTTGCCTGGTTGATATCTATAGTTTGTCTTGTTTCTTTTTCATATGTTCTAGCCTTTTATTTCTTAAAGCCAGTTAAATATTTTACATACCGTATCTGATTTTTTCAGTCTCTGAAGGCTTTGAGGATACGTTTCTGCCCTTTGCTGTTTCTGCTTTCAGGTATTTCATGTTCTGTGTTGGTGTTTTGTTTTGTTTTGCTATGAATTCATGGTCCATGGAAACTTATCTGTGGGAATTCTTTGAATCCTGGTTGAAACTGCATTCCTTCAGAAGAGGATTTTTCTTTGTTTCTGCCACTTCTCTGGGGTTCTAAATTCCTGGCTTGAGATTTTTGAGGTTTTTTTTTAAACTACACAGATAGCTTGAATATGGTCTACAAATCTATATGAAAGCTGGCTTATGGTTATGCATTCTTGGGGTAAATTCTTTTCCTTTTCTCCCATTGCCATTTTCCTTGCTGAGCTCTTCAATATGGCAGATTTACCTCCCTTTTTAACCTTTCAGTGAAGATTCAGTTCTTTGGGTCTCAGCTTTAAATGAAGACTACTGCTGGATTGCCTACTTTGAGTGGGTCCAGCATTCATCATTTGTCTTTGGTGTTCCTTGCACTCATTAAAATAGAATCCTGAGGTCCCTAGGATATGGTTGATAGCTTTAGCGCAGAATATGGCTTTATCGCATGCTTAATTCCTAAGGTTGCAGTTTTCAGTTAGCGTTTATTCTTTCAGTATTCCTTACTTTGTGATATTTAAGAAGAGAGGATTTTAAAAAGCTTTGGCCAAGCTTCACATTTCTTGATACAGGTTGTATCCTGAAACATTAAAGAGTACCGTCATTGACAACTAAGTAAAATTGTGTCACTTGTGAATTGTACTAAGATCATAGAAGGTAATTGTATTTCTAAGAATAATGATGGATAATCAGGAATAATGGGAAGACAAAAGGAAAAGAAAGTTAAAAAAAGAAAGCATTCACTAAGAGCAATGAGTAGCATCAGACTCAGCTTTTCCCGAGTTTGGCTTGCATGGAGGAAACCTGCTGAAGTATTTTCACTGAGAAGTTCATGTTCACATGCCTCTGCCGTTTGACGTAAGACATATACACCTTGACTTCCTCTCTTTGAGTCCAGAGAATCTCTTTAAAGGGCTGGCAATATATAGAAAAACACTTTTTCAGACTCGTTTTAATTTCAGTTCACTGTAAGACAAAGGGTGTCTGTTTCTTAGCTGTAGGTGTTTGCCATACTATTACGTGAAAAAAGCAGATTGGATTTTGTAACCTCACTTCGATACTTTTGACCTTAGTCTTTCCTCTGCCAACTCCCTCCCTCCCATTTTTCCAATGGGCTTGGATTCATTCAAATCCTGGCTTTGCCACTTAACAGCTGAGGTGACTAGTCAGTAATCTGTCTGAGTTGGATTTTGTAATGAATTAAATGGGGATAATGCCAACTTCAAAGGCATCATTGTGAGAATTAAATAAGACAACATGTAAAGTACCTCGTGCTAGGCAGAGTAGGTAGTCAGTAAATTTTACTTCCCTTTCAGCTTGAATGATAGAAAACTAATTCTCAGTCTTTGGACATCAGAAGTTCATTTTCTATTTATTTGTTATGCATTTATTCTTGTGGCTTGTTTTGTGAAGTACTGGTGAACCCGTTATAGAAACACTTATGAGGAGTAGTTTGTCAGGGCTGTTGTAGACGGATGGATGAGGTGGCCTGTTAGATACCTCCTGTAACTTGTTATATAGACTCTTTATTACATATAATTAATTTTGGCAATCATTTTATTTCAGATACTGTGATACTAGGTTATTATCCTCCCATCTTCTCACCTCATTTATTAGAGAAATAAATTAGAATCTGATTGCTAAGCCAATATTCATTCATTCTTTATTTGATACTCATATTGCCTTAGATATGTATGTGTATTTATCTGTTGCTTCTTTCTTTTAAGGGAGAAATTCTACATTCTTTATGAGGGAAATTGTAAGCTGATCTCCTGTTCATCAGAATTTCTGTATTGTTTAATTCTTTGTAGGTTCATTTGGTACTTGTATGAGCACATTGTATTGCCATATTTTTTGTTATTGCACAATTAAGGCAAGCACTCTAAAATAAGAAAGAGCAGGGTCATGAATCATATAGTGTAGGGTGGAATAAAGGAGGTAATGTATATATTATCCATAGCTGCAAAATTGGAACATGTAAGTGCTCAGGGAATACTGGCTGTGAACTATTATTATATGTGTGTTCCTCATCTTCTAGATTTAAAATTCTTTAAGAGCAGGGTCAGTGTAATATATATTTCACATATTATGGAGTCAACATTTTACTCATTAATATAATTCTATTCTCATGATTTTTAATGTGTCATTTTTTATCTTGCAGTGATGAAGCTAGAGAATCTGTTTGTAGCTGACTCAGGTCGCTGTTTCGCTATTCAATTCCATCTGGAATGTGCATATACATATTTATATTATTATGATTATAAAAAAGCAAAAGATCAGTTCAGTATTGCCAAAGACATCAGCAAATTGCAAATTGATTTGGCAGGTAAGACTTTGTATCTTTTGTGGATAATTGATTTATTTTTTATGATAAAACTAATATATACATTGGCAGTTTGGTTGTATCGTTTGGTTATATTTGATTTTCGATGTCTTGTTCCTTGCTTTACAGAAGTAGACTTTAAATATTTTATTTAAAAAATTCATAGTTTTACTACAGATTGAAACTGTGTATTTTCTTTATTCCTGGGGATGTCTGTTTATTTTCTAATCTGTTAGACACCTGTACAGTAATGTACAGCAGCAAGGTAGTACACAAATGAACTTTGGACCATTCAGTTGTGGGCGTGGGACCCCTAAGACCCCCCCCAAGTCCCAGGTTTAATTTAGCCTCTCTACAGTGCCCTTTCTTGTAAATACCCAACCATGGCTTCCATCCTACTTTTTTTGTATCCCTTAAGAACAGAAAGTTTTGACTGTTTTGTTTAGATGTTTCTTCAATGCCTTGGAACACTATCTGGAATATAGTAGATACTCAACATTTGTTCAGTGAGCAAATAATTACAGAATTTCTCCTGAAACCTCCTTATTTCTTCTGAATACCAAATACCTTTGATTTCTTTTTACATATTGCTCAGTCCCTAGCATCTCACAATATAATTGGCATTCAACATTGAACACATTAATAAAAGTCACACCGTTTATACCTGTTGAACCTGGGCTCAGCATGCCAGACTGTGACTACCAGTCAGTGAATGTTGAAATGATTGAACTTGGATGTCCTCCCTAGACTAGGTCTAGATTATTTCTAAGGCCCATTCTTTATGCTTCTTATTGAACTATATAATAAAGTCCTTCAGCTATATTATGAGTTAAACATGACTTTGTGGCTTAGTCTGGGATCTTAGCCATCATTTATTCTATTGTTTGTGTAGAGAAAATTGTTAAATATCCAGCTTACAACTTTTGGAACAGTGGCCATGTGTAAGTTGGAGTCTTGTCTGTATTTGAAAATATAGTTATAAATAATATAACTTCTGAGGTTAGTTTCAGAGGTTATGTTTTTGAATGTTGGGGTCCTAGGAGACTTTTTTTGGATGAAAAATACTAGTAGCTTAGTACTCTATATAGTCAGCTTTAACTGTGTATTTACTAGCTGGTTCTTCATAATTTTGTCCACGTTAAAGAGTGAGGAACTTAAAAATATAAATGTGGTGCTCACAAATATAAAATGAGAAACAAACCATTTTTTTCCATTCAACTTTAGCCTTACTATTAAAAAATAGCTGTGTTAGACCATCTCAGTAGCTCTTTTTGTGTGTAACATGTTTAAAAGGTTGATGAATAACTTAGAGCCAGACTCAGTGCAGGATGAAATTCAGACTTTTTTAATCGAGGGTCTTTGTCATCTGACTCTTGCCAGAGAATGGATGTTAGAACTTTTGCTTCTCTTAAAACTGTTCTTCAGCAAGTTATTTCAGATACAAAATGAAAAAATGTTTGATGTTACATGAAGCCAGATCGTGTGATAGAGAGACTGTGGGATTTAGAACCTGAAGAGCCCGCTTGAAGCTCCAGCTCTGGTGCTGGGAAGCCCTGTGATCCGGAGCAAGTGACTATCCCTCAGAACCTTTGTTCTTTATCTGTCGTATGGAGATGATAGTATTTCTTCTACCTATGACACTAAATGAGTTACTTGAAGAAGTAGGTAGTTCGATGCAAAAGTAAGTATATGGAATCTAGTGGCAGAAATCCTGGGTTGGAGTTCTTGCCCTATAGCTTACTGGCTTTATAATTTTATAAATCATTTAAAAAATCACCATGGCCTCAGGTTTCTCTTATGTGAAATGAAGAAAAACATCTTATAAACTCTAAAGCACTTTGAAAATATTGCTCTCGATGATCGTACAGTAGATCTGATTGACAAATCAATACATATTTTATGTTTTTAGGTGCTTTGGGAAAAAGGACACGGTTTCAGGAAAATTATGTGGCACAGCTTATTCTAGATGTAAAACGGAAAGGGGATGTTTTTTCAAATTGTGAATTCAGTCCAGCCCCAACTCCTCAGGAACATTTAATCAAGGTAAGTAGGATTGTGAACTATTTAAATTGGCATCCAAGTCTAAAAGTTCCAGTGGGTGAGTTTCGTAGAACCATGAATGGGCTAGAAAGGGGCTTCGTTTTATCTTTTCTCAAGCTTTTCAAGGTGGCTGGGCGGGGGTGGGGGGAACGTAAAAAAAACCCCATGTTAAAACCTTTTTTACCCTTAAATAGAGATAAAATGGTGGTGTTCTTCTAGTCTTCAGTAAATATGAGTTAATAATGCTGTTAGTTATGTGTTAACCTCCCACCCCTTGAAGAAATTCAAGAGACAGACTGAGTAGAGATGAATTTTTCTAGTTGCTACCATATTTGTTATCTTACTTTTGCCTTTTGAGGATATTTTTTAACATTAAGAGACTTAAAATTTTTACCAGTGTTCTGCTCTGTCTTGTTACTCTGTCATTATTGGGCTGGTCCCTGCCTTAGTATGTATTTCCTGACCTGGTTAATGCTTTTTCTTCTTTTAACTTGAATTTATGGCTTTTGGGCAGTTTACCTACTTAAAAGTCTTTTCATCTGCTTCCATGGAGGCCGTTAGCATTTATATTTTCTCATTCCAGAGACCCCAAACCAACATTTTTGGTTGTTCTTTGGTTGATGTTATATCTTTGAAGCCTGTGGCATGTTATTCTTAGTTCCAGAGCCTGCAAACAAATTTACCTTGAGTACATTGAGCACTAAAATTCTATTCTGTACTGAAAATAATGCCAAGGGTAGGGGTTAGGGGTGGCAGCCGTGAGAAGCCGCAAGGAAGGCCTTCGATGTGATGTTGCATAACTCCTGGGCTTGCTCCAAGTACTCTATTTGCTTTGTGATAACTTCAGGGAGGAACAGCTATTGATTTAAGAGAAGAAGGAAGGAAGGAAGGGAAAGATGTAGAAACTCAGGGATAAGACTGCACGGGGTACAGCCTACACTTCCTGAAACTGGTAGAGCTGTAGCTGAATGAGCGTTTGTACTGCTGTGTTGATGCTTGTCAGGAAATTGGGCCGATAATGCGTCCATCCTCCATTTCCTGTTTGTATATGCTGGACCTACCTTCTTAAGCTTTTCGATGTAACCCAAATCCCTCCCTAAAGATTAACTGTTACAAGCCTGATTTTCATGCCATAACACAGCATCAGGGAAAAAAGATTTAATTCTGCAATTCAAGCATTTCATTCAAGTAATCTATTGTTGTTTATTATTTTTTATGTTTTTTATTTTTAATTTTTTTCCTGTTAAAAATTGTCTCCTGTGATGATAAGCATATGTTGGCATTTATGAGGAACATATAAGAATGATGTACAATTTACTACAGAATTTATTTATTCTTCTATATTTGAAATAAAAGACATTCAGATAATTTTACGGTTTTCATTAATTACTACCTAAGGGGAGAATTAGAAATTATGTGATGATATAAGTAGGTATGGATTGTATAGAAACATTTTATATTTATGGATGGAAGATAGAATTGCTTGTTTAATTAGATATATATCATATTTCCTTATGGAAAAAAACACTATTAGATTATAAAGTACACCATCTGTTTAATAACCAGGTAAGAAAGGATCACTATTGACCAATTATAATGATTACAAAATATATGTTACAATGTGAAAACATATATCTTCGAATTGAGGAAACAGTAATTTTCTTGCCAGTGAGAAACATAGTATTTCCCTTTGAACCTTCTTAGATTTTTAATCTGTTATCATAAGGAATTATATAGATGAAGGTTATTGGTTTTCAGGGTTTAATAAGCCAACAATTAGGAACAACCTCAATGTGCAAATCAAAAGCACAGCCTTTGTTCTTTATTGTTTAATTTTAAGGGGTTGAGGAGGGAGAATAAATTAAAATTATGTGTTCACAGAAAATACAAACACATATATGATCAGCATCACTGATAAGAAATATGCATTAAATGTTGAATTTGGTATGTTCCACATATTGGAGATAAATTTTGCGCTAATTTCTTCTTTATTTTTTTCCTCTTTTTAAAAGCATTTTATTTAATTAGTTTCAGGTATACAGTACATTGGTTAGACATTTATACAGTTTATGAAATAATTACCCTGATTCCTCTGTCTTACCTCTGGCTCTGCACATGCCATTATGTTACTGCTGATTGCATTTCCTATGCCGTGCTCCCCACTTTAATAAAGCACAGCACAGCAATTTATTTTGATGCTTAAAATGAATACAAAGGGAAATAAAGATGACAGAGTTCTGCATACTACAACAATATGTGATATATTTGATGTATATCAAATATGTGTATAAATGAATACACCAGGATGGTGTTTAACTAAAGGTAGAACTAAATACCCAGAATGCAATACTCATTGGTTTGCTGCTTCAACACAGAACACTTTCGTACAAGTCTAACAGGTGTCAAAATTAGAAGCTGCAGAGTTAATTCTTGTAATGATTCTAGCTTAAAAGATTTCAGAAGACAAATCTGAAATACTAGTTTTTGTTTTTGTTAGCTGTGATGTCAAGGATATTCAGCACAAGAAAAATTCTGTAATACGAGAGAGTCCAGGTATATGTTTTATGTGGTTGGCCTCTGTTGCAAGGTTATACAAGGTTATGTGCAAAAATACTGTCTCAAAAAACACTCTCCATACTAGTCTAGTCTCAGGCTTTTACTAGATAAACTAGAAATAGAATTTACTACACAGCAAGGGCAGCACTGAAAAAAAAAAATCTATGATGGGTACACAATAACAATATCATAAGCATCACTTGAATACGTTTGAAAGACTAGCTGATTTCTTGATTTAGTAGAATGTTATGAAGTTCAAGTGGGACTAATGTAGAACAGTATTTTAAATTTGGGGCTTGTACAACAGTTAAATAAGTTGATACTATATTAGACCCATATTGATTTCAAAAGAGCTGAATAGGAACATAGAGAATTTTGAATGAAGATCAGAACTGTTTTGGTCACCTTTTTGTATCTGGAAAATAAGTAATGCAGTAACAGGTCTCAGGTCTTTTGTGGTGGAAGAGGAATCCCGGGCTGGGAGGAGGAGACTAGAGTTCCTGTCACATCATCATTGTCTAGCCTGGATGAGAACCTGGGAAAGTTATTATATTCTTAGTTTCCTCATTTGTTTTTCTCACATCTCATTTTGTTAAAGGATCAGATTTGATTTGTAAGGGCACTTTACAAATGTGTTAGTAATCATTGGGTATTATGAATAAGCAGGGTGCTACAACCCTATCAGGATGTAAAAAGGTGAGAGTTTTGGAGTAGTCTAGAGCTGACCTGTCCAATATGGTAGCCATCAGCCACATGGGATTGTTAATCACTTGGAAGTTGGCTGGTCCAACGTGAGATGTACCGAAGTATAAAAGACACACCAGGTTTCATTGACTGTGCAAAAAAGAATGTGCAGTATCTAATTAATAATTTTCTATTGATACATGTTACAAGGATAATATTTTTGATGTACTAGGTTAAATAATTTTATCCTTTTTTAAAAACTTTTTTTAAGTGTGGCTATTAGAAAATTTAAAATTATATATGTAGCTCTATTTTAAAATTATGAAGTTCTGTGTTGAAAGTAGATGGCCAGCAGGGTGTGCTGTGCATCTGCCAGTCCTGCCTTTCTCTCTCTCT